GCCCAAAGCTCTACAAGCTGCACAACGGACAACTGCTTCATGGGCTTCCATGTTCTTGACCAATTCTGAGGAGTTTTTGACCAACACAAGCGAGTGCCTTGCCAACTCAACTGGAGGAAGGTTACCTAAAGCTCTACAAGCTGCTTGGCGGACATCTGCATCATCGTCCTCCAGCTTCTTTAACAAGTTCGAGGAGTGCTTTGCTAACTCCTCCACAGGAAGGACGCCCAAAGCTCTACAAGCTGCACAACGGACAACTGCATCATGGGCTTCCATGTTCTTGACCAATTCTGAGGAGTGTTTGACCAACGCAAGCGAGCGCTTTCCCAACTCAACTGGGGGAAGGTTACCTAAAGATCTACAAGCTGCTTGGCGGACATGTGCATCAGCGTCCTCCAGCTTCTTCACCAAATCTACGGAATGTTTGACCAACTCATCCGGACAAAAGCTGCCCAAAGCTCTACAAGCTGCGCAGCGGACAATTGCATCAGCGTGTTCTAGCTTCTTCACCAAATCTACGGAATGTTTGACCAACTCATCCGGAGAAAGGCTGCCCAAAGCTCTACAAGCTGCACAGCGGACATTTGCATCAGCGTCCTCCAGCTTCTTCACCAAATCTACGGAATGTTTGACCAACTCATCCGGAGAAAGGTTGCCCAAAGCTTCACAAGCTGCACAGCGGACATTTGCATCAGCGTCCTCCAGCTTCTTCACAAAATCTACGGAGTGTTTGACCAACTCATCCGGAGAAAGGCTGCCCAAAGCTCTACAAGCTGCACAGCGGACAACTGCATCATGGGCTTCCATGTTCCTTACCAATTCTGAGGCGTGTTTGGCCAACTCAACTGGAGGAAAGTTACCCAAAGCTCGACAGGCTACTTGGCGGACATCTGCATCAGCGTCCTCCAGCTTCTTCACCAAATCTACGGAATGTTTGACCAACTCATGCGGAGAAAGTTTGCCCAAAGCTTCACAAGCTGCACAGCGGACATTTGCATCAGCGTCCTCCAGCTTCTTCACCAAATCTACGGAATGTTTGACCAACTCATCCGGAGAAAGGTTGCGCAAGCCTCGACAAGCTGCACAGCGGACATTTGCATCAGCGTCCTCCAGCTTCTTCACCAAATCTACGGAACGTTTGACCAACT